ACTGGGTTTTCAGATTTTATATGCTAAAAACAGCTTCCTGAGTGAATCAAAATAATAAAGTTGCAGACCAGAAAACTGAAAACATCTGAGCTAAAAGATGCTAAAGACTTGCTAAAAGAAACTGGGACATCATTTTTTTATTGCTGTGTGCAAATCATTTCAGGAAGCATGCAGTCATTTGAGACAAGGCCAGATTACTTTATTGTCATGATAGGAGAAAATCACCTTGGATTAAGCCACACTTTAATAAACAGACCTCAGAATAAATTAACAGATAAATGATTTTTAAAATGCATTTACAGCGAAACCTCTCTGCTTATCTGTCTGTCCCACATGAGCTGTTCATTTATCAGCTTAACTGGCAAATTAATATTTATTATTGCACAACAGGAGCCTGCATCTCCTTCCAGAGTTCATTAGCACATAATCAGAGGTCCACACATGTGAAGAAGCAACTAAAAGCGCTGTTCCCTTTTTATATGTGCTATATAAATAAAAGTAACAAGACACGTAATCATAAAAAGCAGGATTGTTTCACTTGACTTGACAAATTATTACTGTAGTACCTTAAAAAACCTTAAAATGCCTTTAAAAAATCAGAAATCACTGGTTGAGTTAAAGATACTTATTCCATTTGCTAATAAATACAAGTTAAGCATGTTGAGAGTTGCAGATGATCTAATCACAACACCGTTTGTTTGCTCCAACTTTATCAAATGACCCCCAACCCTCCCCCACTCCTTTGACTGTCAAAAAGAAACCTGCTGCGTGTTCTCCTCCAGGCTTCCTGATGTCTCTGGATGACTTCTACCTCCTTGGGAGCGGCCTGCTGATGACTCAGACCTCCATCGGCGTCTTCAATGCCTCTCTGTTCTCTCAGCTCAGCCCTCACAGCCTGCTGGCCTGGCAGAGGGTCCGACTGGCTAACGGTCTTGCGCACACCGGAGAGGAGTGGGCGCAGGTTTTCTCCAGATACAACTCAGGTGAGATTTCAGTGATGTCAATTAAGGCAAGCGGTGGTTGAGTTTTGAGGCTTTATTCAAAACCAAAGTAAGCCACAAATATGGAAAAATAGCCGTCAAATCACTTTTTAAAAATAACATAATTAAAAATATGGAGCCACTAATTCACATGCATGCTGTTATTGCCCTGCCTTCTGGCTTTTAGACGTAATGCTGGCAATGCAAAAATTCACAGGACACATGTCCATAGAGATTTAGCAGTCTCTCAAACACATCGTTCTTCTCAATTACACAGTGCTTGTGTGTGTTAATTGGGAAGGCTGCTTTGATCTTTCACGTCACGTTGCTATGGAGGGCAGAGGAGAGAACAGGACAGGGTGTTCTTGAGACTGACAGCTCTTTAACAAACAGCAGAATTGGCGCTCAGATTCACCATCCTGCCAAGCTATTGCAGTGACCTGCAGAGCGTGATGTCATTTCATTCAAATCGGGTTATGTTTTAGGTTTTTATGGCATGTGCAAATATGTATCTAATAAGCCAAAAGTTTATGTGCTTCCCTCTCTAGATCCAAATCCCTCAGGTGCATGCGAGACTGTACATGTAAGCTTTTATTTTACAGTAGGATCGCTAACATGCAGCAACATGAGCTAGACCGACTACATTACTTCAGTATTGGTCTTTTAGTGAGTAAAGGTAAATAAAGTTGGACCACATCTCACAAAATCCCTCCAATATTTGTTGACACACAAAATCCAAGTGTCCATGGGACAGGGAGGAGTGGATCTGTATTTCCTTTGTATTTCAGGCACATATAACAGCCAGTACATGGTGGTGGACCTGAGCAGGATTTCTCTGAGTAAAAGCATCAGGGATGGAGCTCTGACTGTTGTAGAGCAGATTCCCGGCAAAGTCATGCACTCCGATCAGACTCGGGCGTTACGCAGAGGTAAGAAACCACCTGTATCTGTGTGATTACTGCTGTTGTTGATTTCTGAGTGACCTCCCCCTCCAGTGTGCTCCATTTAACAGGTTATTGGCCGTCATACAATATACCATTTCATGCTGAAATCTACAACCTGAGTGGGTACAGTGTGATGTGGAAAAGATACGGGGAAGACTTCTCCTATGATCTCTGTCCCCGAGCTAAAATCCTCCGCAGGGATCAGGCCAAGGTGTCCGACCTCAGCTCCCTCAAACGCATGATGAGATACAACAGTAGGTGAAACAACGGGGTTATTGTTCCTCGCGCTGTATGTCCGCTCTGGAGCTCAAAGCACTTCAGAGAAAACACAAATAGCCCAGGATATTTTTGTTCCCGTCAAAGTGAAAGCAGCATGACTAAACGTCAGACTGCTTCTGTTTCAGACTACAAGAAAGATCCCTACTCAAAGGGCCATCCCTGCAAAACCATCTGCTGCCGCAACGACCTCAGACCAAGGAGGCCACGGCCAGGGGGCTGCTACGACACTAAGGTCAGAGGACACCAGCACATTAGGCCAGAATCAGCTCTGTCACAGCGTGAGGATAAAAACAAAATACAGCATGTGTTTTGGTTGTGTTTTTGTCTGCCGATATAACCTTTGGTTAATGAGTCACCACTGTCACATGCCCTTTAAATTCCCTGTTTTTTTAAAGCTGCAGTTTTTCTCTTTACTCCTTTTGTTATTTGTTTAACTATTTCAGTTACACTCTCAACATTTAATTACACTTTACTGTTTCCAGTATATGTTGTGTTTGTTTAGAAAGACTCTGTAGATTTGCAACTTACTGTAAGAGCCAGGGCTTCAGGCAAAGTGGTGCTTTAAGCTAAATGTTAATGTCAGTGAGCTAATTAGCCTTCAAGTTAGACTGTATACATAAGATGGAAGTAGCCTTGAGTCTGGAAAAACCTCACATACTTTTTAATGACCAGCAGGAGTTAATGTTTTATATGTTATGAATATGTTTATGGTCTCAGTTGCTAGGTGTGTGTTGTTTTTAATAGAGCAAGATGTTGATTCTCTACATTAGAGTAAAACAGGGAGTATATCAGGGTGTGTTTCAGGGCGTGTCTAACCTGTGATTGACAAGTTGCTACCACAGAATTGAGCGTTGCCCTCAAATTCTCAGTTTGATCTGCCCATCAGCTGTTCTGTATTTGTTTGTAATAAAAAACTGCAGAGTGAGCTCATCCAGTAAGAACCTTTTTTTTTTTTAAACCAATCGTTTTTTACTTGCTAAAGCTAGCATTCATTTTTATATCACAGTGAATTACAAACCTTGCACCTTGTTAATCAGTCTAGGACAACCGAAATGCACAAATCAGTGAGTATATCTTTTTATTAGACTACTGTCTGTGATCCACAGTGCTAATATGGCGACAATAAAACGATATGTAAATCTAGTATCCAAATATAGATGCCCCAAACAAGATATGCCACCAGGTGATATTAGTCATATCACCTGGTGGTATTAGAATAAAGGCCAGGTTATCACCTCTAGCATTTGTGAATGTGTGTGCAAACATTGTTGCTAATCTGTCTGTTAGATATTTCCTAGATTAAGTGAAAAAATATATTTGCTGCTGGCAAAATATGAAAACACTCGCCAAAGTTAATAAGATTCATTCACATTAATTATGTGTAGATTTCTGTTCAGTTCAGTTTAAGTTAAATTGTGCAGTGGTTGAAGCCAGTATTTCAAATGAAGCAACAAGATTTGATTAGAAGCATTAAATTACCTTTCTTTCACATGTTCCTGTTCCCTCCTCATTTCTGTGTCATAGGTGACGGACTACCAGATGGCGCTCCAGCTGGTCGCCGAGGCAATAAATGGCCCCACAACCCAGGGGGGTCTGCGCCCATTTTCATGGCTGTCCTTTAACTTCACGATTCATCAGGGACTCCCCCACACGTACAACTTTCCCTTTATCACCATGAGGCCCATGCTGGACAAGCCATAAGAGCACAGAGCTGGAAGATGCCATGCGTCCATGTGCAGCTGTGTTCAAATTCACAAATCCTGCGTCACAACACTGAAAATCTTGTTGGTGCAGCTAAACAGAGAGTAAAAAACTTGATTATTTTGCCAACATTGGTGTTTTTTTATTAATAATTTAATAATCCATTTTAAAAACAAGCAACAACTAAAAATGATCAAAATGATGTATACTGAACTAGATGCCACTAGATGCAGTGAGGTGTTTGTGATGTAGTGTTGTGTTGGTCTTATTTCACAGCATCTATCTATTAGTGACAGAGTACTCTGAACTGGCATAAGGATTGTGGGCTTGTTTGCGCTATTTTAACACTCTGTGTAAAGTTTCCACAAACGTTTGGATTTAAACCATCAGGAAAATCCTGTTCATTTTATATTTATTATAATTACACTATTTTTGTTTTTGAGTTCAATTCTATGCAGTATCTACTCAGGTTTGCACATTGTTGAAGAAAATATTAGCTATACTAAATTTAATTATAACCTGTGGTGCATTTTGTCTATATAAACAGAAATAAAATTCGCAAAAACTGTTTTTGTGCAAAATATGAAAGGAAAATATGTTATTTTCAAAATAAAATATTCACAAAAGGTTCACGTTTCTGATCTGGTTGACAAAAAAGAGAAAAATACTCAGTTATGATAATTACATTTGACTGCCATGTATAGTATCTATGGGAAAATTAATAAACTCAAGTAACAATTTTAAGCAACATTTGACTGCATAACAAATAGGATTTCTCAACTACTCTTACCTACTTGTCAGTTCTTAATGTGTTTTTACCACTAGACTGAAAGTCTCTAAGGGAAGGTTAAATTCATTACTAAATTAGTGTAAGATGACAAAAGCGAAGTATAAACCTAGACAGCCTAGACAGTTTTTTGTTGTTGTTGTTTTTTGCCTTGAGAAAATTTAACATTTTTAAAACTTGATTAGAAAAGATTATTTTCTTCTGTAGCGGCCATTACAGCTTTTACTTTGAAAGTGTCTCTGGGACATAGTGTGGTTAACTTCCTGTAACTTAACCAGCTTGCTTTGAGTGGGCACTCTGGGGGCGGAGCATGTTCGGTTGGATAGCTGAGAGAAAAAGCCGAGGCGACAGTCCGGGGTCCACCGCGCTCGTATCTGGTCTGTGTCCAACTGCTTTTTTTCCTAAATGGCAACGACGGCAGAGGACCAGCGGGAACCGGCGGACGCCGCTGCACTGTCGACACACCACGGCTGCCACCACCACAACAACAGCAACAACAATAACAACAACAACAATAACAACAAAGACAGCGAGGCGGGAGAGAGCGCGACCTCTGCCACCGCCAACTCGACAGAATCCGGCGGGACGGCGTCGCAGAGCATCGGTAACGGCTCGGTTATCAACCCTAACGGGGGGAACAACGGGAAGTGGGTTCGGCTCAACGTTGGCGGCACGGTGTTCCTCACGACGCGGCAGACGCTCCTCAAGGAGCAAACTTCGTTCCTGTACCGGCTGTGCCAGCAGCAGGACCTGCATTCGGACACGGTAAGCCCCGCGAGGACGCTTTAACCCCCGCTGAAGGGTGCTTCGCTCCGGGCGAAACATAACTTTGTCACAGCAGCGGGTGAGCTGGAACTGCACCTCCTCCACTTAATGTCTTTGTGATGGTTTCAACGTCCTGTGAGCATTTAAGTTTGATAGTTACTTTGTCTCAGACGCTATTATTCTGGGTACTGGCAAGTGACATTGTGCCATATATCAGATTTCTATGAAAACAAATGTGGTGACAGTACATTACAATAGACGTTCCACACCATTCGTGTTGTGGCACGCAATTGTATTTGTTAAGAACAGAGACACTCGTGCGGTCTTTGATCTCTTGATAACACTCCTGCTATCTGCAGCGGCTTGAAGTTAACAACAGCATAGATCGTTGAGGCATCTGTTAACACACGATTGGTTCGATTTATCCTAACAGGCTTACTGCTTTGGTCTAAAATGGCGATTATTTTCTATCAAATGCGTGTGCATCTGTTTCCATAAAGTACGGAATTGTATCCCATGATATCACTCCAACATGAGTACTGATTTCCCTAAAACTTGCATCTCTGTCCTCTCCCGGAAATGCACTCCTGCAGCTCCAAATAGGCATGGAGCAGCCCACTAACCAGGAGATATACGTGCAGTCTGAAGTACTTCCACTCTCCTGCTTTTCTTCATGTGAATGTTGCTTGGGTCAGATGGATGAACACGTGCCTCCTCTTCTGCAGGAAGCCACACAGTTGGTAGCTGTACAGCTGGCATCTTATGGGGAGGGCAAGAGAGAGGGAGAGTCTGGCTGTCACATGTAGAAAGGACTTGAAAGACTCATGAATGATGCAGATTTCTATTATGCTGCATGGACTTTGATATGCATGAGTATGACAAAGGGTGGGGGTGGGGTCCTCCTCGTGAACCACAGCCCACTGTAAACTGATACAATGCTGCAGGCAGGTGAATACCTCCATGTTGCCAAAATTTCAGCTTTTCTGGAGAAAATAGGAGGGGGTGAGGAGTTGTCTGATCAGTGGTGTGTAATTTTATACTACAGTGCATTAGGTAGCACAGCAGAGAGCTGGCAGGAAATGAAGCAGGTGGTAACGATTAATAAAAGACCTTGACTGAACACAAACCTGTGATGATACAATTACATGGTGAATGTATTAAACTCATGGGCCAGCAGAGCACTTCAGAGATATTAATTAGTTATTCAAATTAGCAATTTAAATATTTTATTTGAATATTGCAAATATTCAGTTAATCGGCTGACAGATCGATAAGCGTTTGTTTGGTTTTTCTTGTTGCAAGTACCTTGTCACCACATCGCCATAGACTATAGGAAACTGCATAGGTTCTTTCTCACTTTTTAAATGATTTGATGTTTAATTGTGTAGGTCAATCTGTAAATCAATAATTTGTTGTAGCACTCCTTGAATTTTTATTTATTTATTTTGTGAACCAATACATACAATTTCAGACAAATTACAACAATCCTGGGGCTAAAAATATATATTTTTTAATATATTCTTAGATTAGTCATTAAGGGTCATTGCTGACTTCATGCTTAGTTTTGATTCATCAAAAAAAAAAACCTCCTTGCGGCTCTTTTGGGTGATAGCAGATTGCTACAATTGCTGATAGTTTTTATGGAAGTTGCTGATTTGTCTGCAGACCCTCGCTAATTAACCACTGAGTAGCTGCTGTGAGCAACCATTCATCAACCAGCTGGGGAATTTTCCCTCAGTAACTTAGTATACCAGACCGTAACCGGGGATCGCCAACTGGTATCTAAGCCTATGTGACTGGGCCCTAACCTGTTTTAACCCCCATTGCAGCTGTGGGGCACCTGCAAGCCATTATGCAATCTGCCTTCTGCCCAGCTTCTCCTTTGATGCCGTATCAGACTAAATGTGTATTTAGCAGGTTTTACCAGCTCTGTTCTGTGCTGAGGTCTTGCTGGTCTTCTTGCCTCCAGCTTTCCATGTATGCACATGGCGGAAGGGCAGAGCCATGCTATCAAATACAAATTACTGCAGCTGGAAGTGGTGATCTCCTTTTGATTATAGTGGTCCCGACTGAATTGACTTTTTAGTCAAGAACAGCAGTGGACCAAAATAGAAAGAAATTCACCCTTCTAAAAGTACATGTTGAGAACATTGTGCACCTGCCAGTCAATTCCTGACCTTTAGAAAGGTTTATTTTAAGATTTTTTTTTTCCTCTTTTCTTTTTTTGTGACTGTTACAGGAAAAACAGGAAATGCGGGAGAGCAGGGGAATTTTGGGCTGGTGTTTGAATCTTTAGTGGCTGCTCATAGTGTACGACTACATGTGGTATTCACCTCAATCCCAAACTGTGACGCAAATACTAAACCAGCAGGGAAAACGGCATCAAGTCATGCTTAGGATTAGAATTGAGCCTCCCTTTAAGATCAAGATGTGGCTTGATGATTTGCCACATCGCTTATGCTGTTGTTGTTATTATTATTATTATTATTATTATTATTATTACACGTGCAGTCACTGAAGCAGGTTACAAACTGAATATGCGACAGATCCAGTAATAACAGTTGCAGGGGATTGAGTGGGATTGTGGTGCGCAGCAGTGATGACTGTTCCCCTGCTGCACCTCTGGGCGCTATGGAAAGAATATTCCTGTGTGACCTTCAGCTGTGACCTGACAGGAGCTTTCTCTGCGCTGCCTGATGACACACATGTAATCTGTCTTTGTGTGTCTCACAAATATTCAGACGCACACCAACACCCTCCTTCCTCATTATTTTCTACCTCCCTGTATTATTTTCTCGTCCTCTCGGCGTTCTCGCTCTTGGTAGTTGAGTCACTCTGTTTTGCATTCATGCTTTTTTTTATTGTTATTTTTTATTTTTGCTCGTGCCCTGTAATTTATGCATTGTATCGCAAACTCCTGAATCTCAAACCACGGAGAAGAATACTTAAGTAAACTTCTTTTTCTTCTGATTACTACCCATTTGCTATCAGCTCAAAATCAGGAACTGAGCTGTCAGTGAGACTCTGAATCCTCAGTGAACTGGGAGTTGGGAGCAAGAGGAGCACGGAGGCGTAACGATCTGAGTCATTGTTTAATGTTTATACAGCAAAACATACTGCTCTATAGATGGACTTCACAGAGAGATGTGTTTCGGGGTATTATAAAGGCTTTGCCAGATCCGAGAAACGTATCATCTGTTGTCTGTTCTGAGTCCTTGTTTACTTAATCCATTATGTAAGTTAATACTGCAGCGATAACAAGAAATGTTTTTGTTTTATACCCAGGAACTCTTCATTTTCAAAGTCCGGAAAGAAACTGTAATTCCTGGAAGATTAAGGGCTCAACTCTAGTAGCCTAAAAATAAAAAAAGAGTTTGAGTAACCAGTAATTATTTGTGCTATTATTCCCAGAATTAAATGCAGGACAAATTAACGGACCTTGTGAATCAGTAATGCACTGATCTTAACAGCTAACGGCATGAAAGAGGGAGCAGATTTGGTGCACAGTTGGTCTGAAAATATCTGGCTCAATTTAGCCTCCTCTAAAACAAAATCTGCGTCTTTCTTTTTAAAGGAAGTGTTTAACAGTGAGTGCGCTTTGTTCCTCTCAGCTTGTCAAACTTCTTAAGACGTGAAAGTTGATATTGGAGACCAAACAAACAGACACTGCCTGCTAAAACTAGGTCACATCATCTCATCAGCTGACTGCAAATATCACACTTCTACAGTTTGGAGCAACACAGGGCATCCTTCGAGCGCTGCCTCACCATTTTTTTGTGTGTGTCAGCATACTCTGTTAACTGGCCGACATCCAGCTGAAACGAGCCACCCCTCGAGTTAGTTACCACACAGAACATTGTAAATCCAAATCCAAATTCCAAACTTCAGCCTGTGTTTCTTTTGCTCAGGAGAGGAGCTGATTTTTAGGTGCTGGACAATCCTCCCACCCCTCCCTCTCAGACGTTTGCATGTCTGCACTTAGGAGTTCCTGTCTGTCTGTCTGTCTTTTTTTTTTCTTTTTTTTTTTTAAACCTCCACATAGACGCTTACAATCTGTGTCCATACAACTGTTCTAATGAGATTATTGGCACTTAAAATGCTCTACCTCCTCACCCAACCAAACCCAGGGCTCCCCTCCTTTATCCGTGTGGATGATCTCGCACCATCCCAAGCCAATTACACCATGGATGACTGGTTGTGGGCCATAACAACACAGCCAGGTTCTGTGGTTTAGGGATTATTTGCACGTACGCATGAAATTTTTTGTTAATTAAGTTTTTAACTTTAATTGTCCACAAAACCCATCTCATCCCACATTGTCAACACAGCCTCCAAAAATGCTAGAGGCAAGGTTTTTGCTTCAGAGTTGTTTAAACTTGTAAATTTGAAAATGCACAAATTGAAGGCTGAGTAACACAGCAAGAAGTTTTTTGTTTTTTTTAACCATATCCCATTGCAGAATTTCACAACTTTCTTTCCTATTCCTGTTTCCTTAAACTTACTTGTATAATTAGATTGATACATATACAGGTAAAATAAGTCAGAGCTACAGGATGGGGCAGTGTTTTACATGCTTACAAATGTGTAGTTGCTGTTTGGGAAAGTTTGCAAAAGAAAGGCACATGCAACCAAGCTTATTTCATGCCTCCCACACGAAAAGTGTCACTGGCACTTGAGAAGTCAGTAGTTTAGCTAGGCCATCTTTGATCCCACAGACCATAAATTAGGCTGATCCGTAATTAGAAATCACACTTATTTCTAGAGTTTTATCACAACTCCTGCCCCCGTTCATATCAGAATTTTATAGACAGGCTAAAAATGAATGTAATCTCTTATTTTCACCAAGACTGAGGATTACTAATAGTAATAATAATACTTAGTAATACTTAATAATTTCAACTGCACAGATATTATAGCAGCAATACAAGGAGTACAGTGTAGAAAAAGAAACTGGACTTGCTGTGAGACTCTGTATGCCAGCATATACTGAGATGCACTGATAGCCTGGCATACCCGATAAATGCATTAGGTCACAATTTGTTGGAAAAATAAACCTTTCAGTATTTTTAACACTGAGATACAGGTAGGAGTAGGGATGGGTATCGTTTAGGTTTTATCCGATACTGGTGCCAACCCGGTACTTTTGAAATGGTGCCGGTGCTTATAAACTTTGGAAAACACAAACTTTGTCCTAAAACCTCTCATGTTTAGCTGTTTTTTGTTTTTTGTTTTTGTACCTGGGCCCGCCTACTATCCTTGGAAAGGTAAAATGATTGGCTAGAATCCAAAGTGTATGACATCTCAAGAAAAAAAAAAAGCACTGAAATCTGGTTACTACCGTTTATGTCAGAGCCGACCGGTACCCATCCCTAGTTAGGAGGTAATTGTTGTGCGCATGTTTTAAAAGGTGAATGGGGTTTTGTTTGATTATAGGAGATGGGCTACTGGACGTCCTTACCGCTACAGGGAAGTGTTATAGAGTCGCATCCTATTTCCCTGAACAAATGTTGTGTAAACCATTAACTCACCTAAATGTCATAACTGTTGATTCCCTCCCTTTGAGTCTGTTGGACTTCTCACAGTAATGAAACTGAGAAAGTGACCTCTCATAAAAAACGGCATTTTTAAAATTTTGTTATTTCTGTACTTTATTCATACTCGTTTTAGCTCAGTGTGAGAGTCCCTGCTATTGTTTCTGCTGGGATCCTCTGCTTACTGTTTCACTGTGTGTAACATGGTGAAACTAACACACACAGAGTGGAGCAGAACATGAGGTGAAGTAAAGAGAAACTCATTCTAGTTTTTCATAATGCGTTATGCAACTGTAATAAACAATTGCTATAAATGCTTAAGACGTAAGGATCGAATGTCTGAAAGCTAAACTAAAATGCCTGTTTTGCTCCGCCAATGAAAAATAGTGCACCCAGGCAATTCAGTGTAATTTACATTAGCATGGACTGATAGTCATGACTGGATTTATTTTGCTTGTTTGGTTCTTATGTACACAACGTTTTTGGTTGTAAATGAAGTGCAAAGGGAAATGTGCTAATTTGTTTTTCTCTGAGGTGCTGGTGCTTTAGTTTGGCATTCAGTCAGTAGATAGAGAGAGAGAGAGATCACCTGTATAGTAAGAGTAATAATACTAAAAATCAACCAATAGCAGATGGAGAAAGACAGCAAGACTAAAGTGATGGCTGTGACACAATTCAGAAAGCTTTCCCCTCATGTTGTTATGGCCACACTGTCAAGTCAAGTCATGTCGATGAGGCGTCAGTTTGTCCTCCACTGCAGCTCTGCTCATTTAGGATGTCGAGTGTGTCTGTATGTACCTATGTTTATGCCCGGAGCTGCAGTCTCAGCTTTTTCACGCTCTAATCACTGTTTTTCAGTACAAACGCATACTCTCCTAACATGCACTCAGTTTATACACGGTGCCTCCTGGTCTTCAACTCTGATCTCTGCTTTCTTGCTCACACACACAGATGTGTAAAGCCCATATGTCTTATTCATCCATGTCTGTGACAGTGTCCACCTATTTCTTTGAACCTTCTTTAATACAAAGAAATTTCCTTTACCTCCTATTTGGGTTTTTTTTCATAGCATTTTTTTTAAATCTTTTGTCCTCTACTGATCTTTTGTTGTCCTCCTACCCCCGTTTTCATCTAATCCATCCTCACCTAGCTATCCTTCCATCCTACAGAGTGCTCTGAGGAGTACACTGGTGTTTACACTCCTCACACTCCGTTTTCAGCAAATGCTACTATAACAGAGCTAGAGCTTAACCAGCAGTGCTGCTGTTTCTGAGGGTTTTTTGTTTGTAGTAGTAGCAGGAACAATACTGCTGACCATAAAACTTACTCTTATAGTGGGCTGTGTTGTGCATGTGCATGCACAACACGCAAATAAAAGTGCTAACATCCATCTGCACAAGATGTTGCTACAGGCCAAGATTGTTACTGCTTGAGCAGGCAGTCAGAAAAAGAATCAGTCATGTGACTGGAGCATGTTCTCATTATCTAGCTGGATATCTTCCTGCTCATTGACTTACTGCATTAACTGTCCTCTCAGTCTATATATGGAGACCCAGAATAGCTCTGTATATAGCACCAGCCAAATGCTGGTATTTGGTTAAATCTGTAGAAAAGCTAACTCTGATGCACTCTCTCTTATCAAGAGATAATGGTTTATGCTTATTGGGCTGAGGAATTCGGCATTTGAAAATCATATAATTTCCAACAAGTCCCGCCCCTTTCCCCCCTAACTTATATGCCTTTGCCTGTATCTCCTGTTGGCATGTTTTTGAACTCCTCCAGCAATGGCTCTTTTATGAACTCTACTCTAAAGGGCGATGTGCTTCAAGCATTCATTATGGAGAAGAGCACAGGCAGGATGAGCGTATATGTGTAGGGATAGGAGTCATGACATAACAACCAGGCAAGCTTGTCACATGTAGCCTGGAGGTGCAAGTGAAGTAGGCTGTTGACACACATGATCACACAGTTTACGCTGACTTCCAGTAACCAGTAGGTTTTTTTGTTTTTTTTTGTTCTCATGTAAAAACAGCTGTTGTTACGAGAGTAAATCTGAGTTCAGTTTTCAATCTCAGGCTAAACACACAGAGTGGAGCGCACAGTGGAACAGACACGCACACACGAAGTGAAACCAAGAGAAGAGGTGAATAAAGAAAGTAGCACAAGCGTGAACGGTAGTAAAACACAAGCAACAAACAGAAGAATGACTGCAGACAGTTCTCGAGCGACATGTCACCATCTACATTGCTTCTGATAGAATCACATGCACAAATGCAAAATAAAAACTCCACACTTCATAACATGAGGAAATGTGTTATGAAGGCTGTAAAAATGCAGTAATGGTATAATGGACTGTCCTCTGTCTGTCTCTGACTCTTTTCTGTAACAGGATGAGACTGGAGCTTATGTAATTGATAGGGATCCTACCTACTTTGGCCCCATCCTCAACTACTTGCGGCATGGCAAACTGGTCTACAACAAGGAGCTCGCTGAAGAAGGTCTGCATGGTTGTCTTATTTGCTTGCCAGTAGAAATAAGAATAATACTAGCATGTTTGTTGCAGTATGATGCAATTTTCCCCTGATGCCTTTCTTTTGCTTTTTGAATTTGTGCACTTTATATGAAGATTTGGTATGTCTGAAGAATGTCTAAGTCTTCTACTCAGGTGGCTAAAATCAGCTAATGAATAATTAAGAAACGGTTGACAGTAATAGTTAACAGATGGCCAGGACTAATAATCAATAGTAGACTGATGTGGTTAAATATATGTTCTATAAAGGACAAAAGTAGAATTAAAAATTGTTAGCTTAAAGGAGTATACAGTGGTTGAAATATGAATGATGTTTAGCTGAATATTAAACAATAATATTTAAAGAATATTCTGTTTACTTGGACTGGGTGCAGCTGAGGTCATCTGGCGTGGAAATGTTGCACTACAGTGTCACACAGCAGCTGAGTTGAGTGTTTCTTCTGTGACCAGGTGTCCTGGAGGAGGCCGAATTTTACAACATCACCCCGCTCATCAAACTGATTAAAGAGAGGATCGTAGAGAGAGACTCCAAAGCCACACAGGTAAACGCACAACCTGTCAACATCACTGAGCTTCCAACTATAAAACGCAGTATATCACATTTATGTTGATTGTATTATTACTCTTGAAACATATAATATTTAGCTGTTCTGACATGTCCTGTGCTGAATATTGCAGTATTGTTTAGAGTCATAGGATATAGACGTTTGAGCGTTTCAGTGCTTCAGCCTTTATTAATGATTTTGTTCCCCCAGGTGCTTCTACAAAGAGGCCACTGCTGTACATCAGCCTTCTCTCTTCTTTCTTTGCTTTTCTCGGGATGGTTGGACTCATCCTTATATAATCCTTCTGCCCTCTCGAACATACTCCCACTCTCCCCTTATCCTACTGTCCTTTACTGGACTCACTGCTCGTGTTTGCCTAACGTGGTTAAATATTGTGCAGAAATATGAAAATAGTGGTGCTGGCTTTTAAACTGCCCAAATAGGATTTGGTAATCCAGAGCGTTGAATGTTATGCAATATGAAATGACTGCACCTTATTGGAAAATTCATAGAATTCAATCTAGCAGTGTCAGTATTTACTTCCCTTTTTGTATCTCTGGAAATGGTTGCACCTTCCTTTTCATTCATTTCCTGCATCGTCATCTCTTTCCTTTTATACCAGCAGGTGCCCCCCAAGCATGTCTACCGAGTTTTGCAGTGCCAGGAGGAGGAGCTGACCCAGATGGTCTCCACGATGTCGGACGGCTGGAAGTTTGAGCAGGTCAGCGTGCGCGCCTGCAGAAAGCCCCGCACCGGACTGCTCTGGACTGTGGGTTGGACTCACGCTGCTGCTGACCCTTTAACCGTGACCCTTGGTCTAACCCCTCGGTCCTGACCCGAGCCTTGTTGTTTGCATTCCCAATCTGAACTGTCCATTAAATCTTAGATTATGCCCTTAGTCTAGTTCTTGATTTGCTGGCCTAATGTTACAGTGACACTAGAGAAAACGGTGGTTGGAGACAACAGCACATGCAAAATAATTACATCCATGTGCCATGAACTGGCAATCTTGTGGAGTTTGAAATGGTTGCTTGGAAGCTGGGGACCAGGTCTCCAAATACTTCCTTCGAAGTCAACCTTCTATCAGTCTGCTGGGAATTTGTGATTGAATAGGGTGAAGTTGGCAATTATGTATCATCCGTTTGTGATAATATGGCAAATAACTGTGACAAATCAGTGGAAATCACAAATTTGTGTCCAACTCCTGCAAAGCTATTGCTGTGCATACAGAAATCCACAATAAATAGAAATTCATAGTAACTACTTGCATTTAGAGTCTAACCAGAACCACACAGATTAGAAAAGAAATTCAGAAGTTCCTCCATAAATGGAAGCGTAGTTGCTCCAGGACGAGAGTTTAACTGCAGGATGACAGGCACTCAGCAACATCGCATTAATGTAGGAATAACCTAATTACATCAAGTTTAGTTAAGTCCCCGTCTGGCAAATAGACTCATCAGAACTAAGTTGCACTCATCAGTTCAGACCGACAGACTGATTGCAATGTTTTGGCAATCTGTCTGCCTTTTATATATTACACAGCAGTTATTTGCAGACATCTGAGCGCGATTGCAGTCGGTCCGTGTTGGACCACGACTATTTAAAGACACCTATGGGGACCAGACTACACTTAGTCCCCACACCTACTAACATTTGGTTGCTGAATTTGATGCAGTCACTAGGCAACCTTATTTGTCGCCTATTTGAAAGGAGGTTGCCATTTAATTTGTACTCTGGCGTGACTGAGCCATTAAACAGCCCCTTTAATCTAGTGAGTCCATGTGAGTTAGTCCCAGAACCTGTATTCTTAAAGAAATCGTAAACTTTTATAGTTTTAAAATTATGATGCTGATTTTGGAGAACCAGTTCTGTCAAATAAACACGCCTTCTTGTCTGCTGTAATGTCAGTCTGTTATTGGCCACATCTCCAGAGACGACCTGTTAATATGTTTAATAATTCTAGACTTCATGGCGTTAAACTGGCCAGCCTTTACAACGCTGTAGGCTAAAAATCGCACACAGACCCTGTGTCCCTCCCCCACTCCTCTGCTTTAGCACTTGGCTCCCCTGCATGCTGCACAGCTATGATTTTTCATATATTTTTCAGCAGAGCTGACCCGCAGTTGTTTTGCTGTTTCCACAAGTACACAGCGCTTGAATCTACTGCTGCGTCCTCCCCCGTCCCCCAGCCATGCATGAGCAAAAGCAACCTTCCTTAGCTGTAGTATGGGATCTCCACTTTCTGTCTCCTGTGCTGGAAGTCCCCATGATACTCACTGTGTGTCTTTGTCTCTGTCCCTCTCTGCTCTGTATTTCTCTCTGCATCTGCGTCTCTTTCTTTCTAGATGGTAAACATCGGCTCGTCGTACAGCTATGGAACAGAGGATCAGGCTGAATTCCTGTGCGTCGTATCAAAGGAGCTCCACACGGCCGGATCTGGGCTGGGAACAGAGCAGAGTCACAAAACCAAGGTGAGTCTCGATATTTTGCATGAACGAAACAAGTATATTTCAAAATACACTATGGGGAGAAGCTGCTAAGCTGTGTGTTGGCTGTGTTCGTATGTGTGTATTTCTGCTTTGTTGCGGGATGTGTGAAAGAGTAGAGGTCTCTCGACTCATTAAAGGTGATATGAGTGTGCTTTGATCCTGCGCCTCTCCACTCAAAGCTCCAAATGTCACTCCCCTCAAAATGTCATTCACAAACACATTCACTCCATCATTCACACAGCTCTGCCTTTCATTCCTGCAGTTCTCAATCATTACTGTATTGGTTCTTCCTCCTTCATGTGGATATATTAATATATATCTGTGTCTGTTTTTTACCTCTCAGCCTCTCACTGTCCACTCACTGACACTCATCCATGTGCTCATTTTTGTCGTTTTTCTGTCGCGTTTTTTTTCTTTTCCCTTTTTGTATTTTCTCCTCCTTCCTTCATGCTGAATGAAGCCCACAGAGATGCAGGAGGAGGAAGCGGCGAAGGAGGAGGAGGAGGAGGAGGAAGAGGGGGGGAGAGATACCACACCAAATGAGTGGCTTAGAGAATGAGGGAGTCATGTTTCTTTGTTCCAAAGAGATGCCTGACTGGGTGAGGAACTGTGCAAAAGATGTGCTAGTGGGTAGATGTAGTGGATTTTAGTGTGTGTGTGTGTGTCTATATGTCTGTGATGTCTATGAGAAATATAGACGAGGTTTCATGGCACAGCATTGAGTATGGCCTTAAAGTTGCCTTTCTGTTTCAGTCTGAAGCTCTTTCTTCATTGAGTCAGTCCCATGTTAAAATGACCAAATGTAGTTGTGCATTTGGTCAAAGTGAATGTTGCATTTAGATCACTGGTTGAAAACTGTAAGGTTGCAATGATTGTAACACATTAAAAAAACATGGGCAAAATATAACACATGCATAATCACTAATCATGATTTGGACCATAAACAACAAAAATAAACTCTTACTTTGACTAGGATGGAGGCCTTGTGCTCATAACCAACATGAGCACAGGACCAGTTAACTTGTATTATATTTTTAGGATAATTATAAGTTATGTACACCATTGTACAATTGCTATTGGTCCTATATTTACAGATATGCTTGTTATACCAGCATGCAAAATGTGCTCTTAAAGTAACATGCCAGTAGTGTCCCTGCAGCTAACGACAAGAACGAAGCGATTTCCTCTTTATCTGCCAGTTTACCCCTTAACTGTAAAAAGGCTGATTTTTCGAATTAATACTAGGGCTGTGCGATATGACCAAAATCTCATATCCCGATATAAAACATCTATCGTCCGATAACGATATAAATCACAAAAATTTAACATTTTCTGTAAATTCTGTGAATCTCGGGTAACTGAAGTGTTTCCAGCTGGGCGTCGTGGATCTGGAGTCGAGTGTTTTACCGATGCATGAAACAATACATTTTTAGACAGGTTGTAACGGCTGCCGTTTTCTTTGCAGCGTGCTGCAGGGAAAAGCCTGTTCTAACGTTTGAGTCTAAGGTTTATTTTTTAGCACTTGGCGGCTCTTTTTTGCTTCTCATCGGTAAATACTTTGCATACTATTTCACGTGATTCAGTTTATTTTGAAAAGTCTCAACAGGATCTTGAGCTTTATTGTGAAA